TAATTCCAAAATTAATGGTTCTTGTTTCACACATCTGATCTATTTCTCTAGGCACACTAATTGGTTTGAAAGCAGGTCAGGATTGTTCTGTACCCACATCAGTGTCTAGAACTATACACATATGGCCCCTGATGCGTGCTCAAATATTGATTCAATTAAATTCTTAACCAGGTTTGAGTCTAAGCATTTTTTCATTCTAATTTTTAGAACAAGGATTCACTCGGAATTTTAAATTTAACACTGCAGATCTGGGGAAGACCTGAGAGAATAGCCAGTTACAGAAAGAAGACATGATTTGCTCAAGGTCACAGAGCCAGTTACTCTCAGAGCTAGGAAAATCAGTGGGGGAATCAGGCCACTTTGGTAGGAGATGAACGATTCCTCCCCCTGCAGAGAGTGAGAGGGGGGTTGGGAGAGCATCGGGGCAAAGAAGTAAGCAAGAAAATAAGTGGTTACAACCGGGAGCAATTGAGGACAGACGAAATGGGGACCCGGAGGGAATGTCTGATAGTTGGTATGTCCCTGTCATGGAAGCAGTAAAGTAGCACAAGGAGCCCTGGTGGGAGGCAGCTGGCACACGTTTTTCCTGAACTGTAGCTTCAATGATCAGTGCCGTTCTTGTCAGAATGGTCTAGTGTATTCAGAAAGCAGCAGTCCTCAGATCTCTAGTGGGGGAAGAGGTATGTCCTAAGTTGAACTGACACAGGTGGCTGAGAGAGAAACCTTGGAGGGTCAGACTAGAAGATTTCCACATGGATTCAGCAGCAGGGACTGGGGGGAAGGGAACTACTGTGTGGATGTCACAGATGAGCAGATACCAACTTACCACAGATAAGAATGTTCTGGCAACTGCAATATCCATCACCAGAAAGGACTGCCTTAAAGAAGAGCGGAGTAACCCCCAGCCACTAGCAGCATTCAAGCAGAGGCTAGATGTCAGGGATGGGCTGAAACAAATTTAAATATCAAATTTAAATTTAGGCTTATTTTAACTTTTATATTCTTTACAAATCCACAGATTCTAATATTTTAAATTAGCTTATAATTCACAGTGCATCCCAAAGTTATCCAGGGGAATGCCACCCCACTCTCTTGAATTCAAGGCAAAGTTCTGCTCTAGAATCACCTGAGACCATAGCCTAGAAATAATAACATCTCATATTTGTGTATAGCACTTTAACAGTTTATGAAGCTCTTTCATTTCTAGGACTTTATATGACCCCACACATACACGCAGAGAGAATCCTAAGGAAAGTAAAGCAAAGGCAGTACTGTCATTTCCCATTAGGTCCAAGGAAATGGGGGTCATTCAATTGCCTAATGGGTTATTAAATTTCCACTACATGGTAAGCACCTTTCTAGGCACTGGGGATACAGAGGTGGAAAAACAGTCCTAGACTCTATCTCATGAAGCTCACATTTTTAAGAGAGATACAGGCAATGAAAAGTAAATCAATATATATTATATTCTGAAGTGATAAATGCTATAGATAGCAATGATTTAGGGTAAGTGTAGGTGAAGATGAAGGGTATGAGAGGTGCTACTTTATAAAGTGCTGTGAGGGAAGACCCGAGACTTTTAGGAGACGATGGAGCAAGACTTGAGGCTGCCTTTAAAAAAAAGACATTATAGGTCCTGAAATAAGGGCATTTGGGGCATTTTCAAAGAATAGAAAAGAAGTGAGTATGGTTGGACTGAAGTGAACAAAGCAGGGAAAGGTAGGAGACTAATCAGGTCGTGCAAGGCACTGCAGATCATTTAATAAACTTTGGCTTTTGCTCTCACTAAGGCGAAAAGCCATTGAATGTTCTGAGCATAGAAGCACATAACCTAACAGCTTAAAGGGATAACTCAGATTTCTGTGCAGATTAGAGGCTGGGGGATGAACAAGGATAGGAAGAGTGTGAACTGCTAAAGGCTATTGCAAAAACTCTGGCAAGAAGAATGATGTTTTGGAAAAGGCCAGTAGTGGTACAGATGGTAGGAAGTGATTGGATTTAGGATTTATTTTGAAGGTAGAATAATGGAATGAATGCTGGATGAATGAACATTATAATACAAGCCTTTCCATTTTAATCTAAATGGCATAATGCAATCATTGACCTTGGGCAAGTCATTTAACTCGGCATCATCTTCATCAGTTTAAAATCCAGACGCTCTTAACACTTGCAAACTCAGTACAGTACTCTTTCCAGTTTAACACGTTTAAGTGCTAGCTCTGGAGCCTCTTCTTGTACAGTATAAGGATGAGGGCACTGGCGATATCTTACTACACAAGACCTGCTTCTTAGACGTGTACAAACCCCTGCCTGTTTAGAAAGATGGTAACACCTCCCACCGTGGCACATATATGCAGTTAGTCACACAACTACACAGAGCTCCCTACATGTTCTTGGCATTGAGGTTGCCTGCTTTTGTCTAAATGTGTATCTGTAATACTCACAGGATCCCTGGGAGGTAAACTGGCTCATGGAGAGACCGAGGCAATGAGACGTAAAAGGCTGGCCTTCAGTCACTGAGATCTCAGTGGGATATGGTTTTGGTCTCATTTTCAGTACAATCCTTTCTTAGTCATTGAGCAGTGCTTTTCCTAAAATGCTCCAAAAAATATTCATGGAGAAAGCCAGATGCAAAGTGATGTTTTGGAGGTTTAAGAGTAAGAGAGACAATTTACATGTTCCATAAAATGAGGGGGCAGTGGACTCGCCTTGCTGGTGGCAATTTGCTTTCTATGCAATTAGAAATTGTTTTTGTTCCGGCAAGTGAGATTTACAGTCTGTACTTCTGAACATAGTTTCAAAAAATTATGCAGGCCCCAGTGCAACTTAGAACTCATGTTAGAAAACTGGTAGACGGAGGTTTTCACTGGGTGGTTGACTGCGTCTTCTATCCCCTTCTATGAAGGCCACTCAGGAGAATATACTCTCAGCAAAACCTTTATCCAAACTACAAAATAAACTGAAACTTGTGTTCAATTCCTTCCCTCTCATCTGCCCTTTTTTGTGTCTCATCTTCACTTCCTGTCTTCTTTCAAGACTCCTGGTTTGCTGTACCCCCAGAATAAATGACCCCAAAACGCATCCATTCACAAAAAGTCTTTCCTACTTTTTGATTGTTAAAATTGGACTCTGGACAGAGTGATTCTAAATCTAAAAGAATATATCTTAAGTGGTGCGTGTAATGTCCTGTGACCTTATTTGGAAATAAGGTCTTTGCAGATGTAAATAGTTAAGGATTTTGAGAAAAAAAACCATCCTAGATTTAGGGTGGGCCCTGAATCCAGTGACTGGTGCCTTAGAGGAAGAGAAGAAGACAGAGAAGAAGGTCATGTGAAGATGGAGGCAGAGACTGAGTGACGCTCTTGTAACTCACAGAACACCAAAGGCCGTCAGAAGGTAGAAAAGACAAGACAGTCCCCTGGAGCCTCCAGAGGAAGTATGCCCCGAATGACATCTGATTTCCAAATTCTATCCTCCAGAACTAGGAAAGAACAAATGTGTTTTAAGCTACCAAGATTGTGGTAATTTGTTATGGGAGCCCTAGGAAACCAATATGGTGGATTTGAACCATCACGACACTTGCACAGGGAGAAAGTTATGGGCAGGTGGCCTTCACTCAGCCCATCAAGTCACATCATGGTGTACAGAACTACCCATATGCCTACATTCAGGGACTCCCAGAAATCTCTAGTTAATAGTATAGTTTCTGTTGGCGGACTGCCTGGATTGAACCCCAGCCCATCACTCCCTAAATGTGGGGCTCTGGGCAAATAACATCTGTACTCCTTAGTTTTCCATCTATAAAATGGAGCTTAAGACTATACCTTCCTCAAAAAGCCCTTGTGAAGATGAAGTGAGATTGCATGTTAAACTCTCAGAACAGTGACTAACACATACTAAGGGCTCAAAAATATCAGCTAATTTTTATTAAAAGAGGCTAGGCACGAGCCACTATGGAGAACAGTATGGAGGTTTCTTAAAAGAACTAAAAATAGAGTTACCATATGATCCAGCAACCCTACCCCTGGGCATATACCCAGAGAAAACTCTAAATCAAAAAGATACATGCACCCTAATGTATATAGCAGCACTATTTACAATAGCCAAGACATGGAAACAACCTAAATGTCCATCGACAGATAAATGGATAAAAAGATGTGGTACATATATACAATGGAATATTACTCAGCCATAAAAAAGAATGAAATAATGCCATTTCCAGCAACACGGATGGACCTAGAGATGAAAATACTAAGTGAAGTAAGTGAGACAGAAAAAGACAAATTTCATATGAAATTGCTTATATGTGGAATCTAAACAAAATGATACAAGTGAACTTACTTACAAAACAGAAACAGACTCACAGGCACAGAAAACAAATTTGTGGTTACCAACAGGGAAATGGGGGAGGGATAAATTAGGAGTTTGGGATTAACGGATACACACCACCACAAATAAAATAAATGAACTAAATGTATGTATAAAATAAATGAAATAAATACATAGCACAGAGAACTATATTCCATATCTTTTAATAACCTACAATGGAAAAGAATCTGAAAAAGAATATATATATATATGTGTGTGTGCATATATTTGTGTGTGTGTGTAACTAAATCACTACGTTGTACACCTGAAACACAACGTTGTAAATCAACTATACTTCAATTAAAAAAAAAAGAGAGAGAGAGGCAGTTGCCCCCAGTCTCCGCAGTCGCTTTAGGCGTCAGCTCTGTTGCAGGCGCCTCTGACTGAGCTTCGCCTGGTGTACTGACTGACGGACGGACGGACGGACGGACGGACTGACGCGAGGCCACGCTCCCACCGGCCTCCTCCGACCGCCCAGCGGCCGGCGAACACCACGGGCAACGCTGCCGAGCCCCAGCCCGAAGGCAGGCAGCCTGGCGAAGACTTTCAAGATTTTTCTCCCTGTTGTAGGACTTATGGTTAAAAGTTCCTGTGAGGTTGTATTTGTCCTGTAAATTACTGCTTTTCCAAAGCCTCCTGTTAATGTCCCCTGATGACGGTGGCTTTTACGCGACCATTGTCGCGGGGGCGAGGCTGCGTGCGGTGTTGGCGGTGTTCGTGTTCATCGCGTGGAAGGAGGGGATGCCTGACTGGCGGGAAGAGAAAAACGAGGAGCGCAGCCCTTGCTTCCAAGCTGCAGGCGTGGCCGGGAAGCCCTGAAACAGGTTTTCTTTTTTTTCTTGTCCGTGTTTAAAAAAAAAAAAAAGTGTGGGTTTTTTGTTTTTGGGGATTTTTTCTGTTTAAGTGGGGTGGATGGTGGCGGGGAGGGAAATTAACTATTTACTGCAGCTTATACTTTGGTAAAAATGCGGGGCGGGGTGGAGGGCTGACATTTTTCTCGACTGCCTGTTACGTGCCAAGTGCTTTTCGTTCTGGACAAAATGCTTTTGACTGAGATCATGTTTGACCCATGCAAATATTAGTGTCAAAATAGAAGCTAGGATAAAGTAACACTAATTAGTAGGTTTAGAATTTACTTCACATTAAAATACGTGTCCTGAGGTAATTTTTATGGCTTGGCTCAAGCAACAGTTTTAAGAGTGCACCTTCATTGATGCTACTCACAGAGGTGTGGACATGCTGTTGCTGCTTTCTACCTCTGCCTACTACGTAGCCTATTATGACGATGAAGTTGACAAAGTAAACCAGTATCAACGACTAGGTCCAGAAGACCTAGAAAAAACTGAAATAGGTCCTGAACCCACTCTTTTTGGTAAGGCAAAGTTCTCCTGCATGCGACTGCACTACAGATCTAAAGAAGCAAGTGGCTATTTCCACACCCTGAGAGCTGTAGTGCGCAATCCAGTAGAGGACGGAAAAGATACCCTTCAACATCTTTTCTGCAGATACTGCAGAGATGCTGCAGATCACCAAGCAAGCCATGGGATCAGATGTACCTATAACAGAGAGAAAGCTTGAGAGGAGGAGCAGTAAACCTCATGAAAACATCATTGGCATCAGATCTCAAAACCAAGGCTCTTTGGCCCAGGGGAAAATAAATTTAATGAGCAAATTTTCATCTCTAAATCAAAAAGTGAAACAGACCAAATCCAATATAAATATTGGCAATCTACGAAAGCTAGGGAACTTTACAAAACCTGAAATGAAAGTTAACTCTCTAAAACCAAACTTAAAGTAAATCTTTGGGAGTCTTGAAATCATGGAAAACACTAGTATGATGGATAAGAAAGCCCAGGCAGTCAGATGGGGAAGTGTCTTCAGATAATGACTCATACCACTCTGATGAATTCCTTACTCTGATGAATTCCAAGTCTGATGAAGACAGGCAGCTAGCTAACTCTCTAGAGAATGCAGGGCCAGTAGACTATGTGCTTCCTAGCTGTGGTAGTGTTGCTTCAATACCTCGATTAGGCAGTCGATCCCAGTCTATGAGCGACACTGATATTAGCATTCATGTTCCTTCAGAGGTTATTATTGCTCATGAAAGTGGGCCTGGAAAAGGCTATGAGTCTTCTCTGAAAAAAAGTCCTTCGGCTGACAACATAAACAACACTGACTGGCTTTGCCAAGCCCATGGATATTTATTGCCACAGATTTGTCCAAGATGCACAAAACAAAATGAGCCAGCTGTCAGAAACCAGGTCTGTTTCTCAGGCTAGTGAGGGAGGAAATCACATGACCAATCAAGTTTCTAACGAAGACACTCAATTTGAATCAATGGAACAGATACCTTCTCTACCGTCTCAATTAGATGTGTCTTTTTCTGCAACAGGCCCACAGCTTTTGTCAGTTGAACCAGTGCATTCAGTTGTATCTCAAAAGACCCCCCCCGGCTCCGAATCTGGCACACTTGAACTTGAGAGAGGGCTTCATGTAACTCCTTCTCCTTTAGAGAGCTGTAGCAGCAGAGCAGTCTCTCCCTTTGCAAAGATTCGAAGTTCCATGGTCCAGGTTGCTACTATTACCCAAGCTGGATTAACCCAGGGGATAAGCTTTGCCATGGCAAGGGTTCAGAAGAGCCCTGCAGAACCTGAAGTAGTTAATGAAGTCCAGCAGAATGAACTTAAAAATATGTTTACTCAATGCAGACACACATAATTCAGATTTAGTTTTTAGCCACTCAGAATCCTGTGGCTTTTATTTAATCCAAAAAAAAAGGAGGTGTCATGTAACCTGTACTGTCTTTGACTCTAGGGATCACAAATTCTGTTTATTTGGAAAGGCTTTAAAAGGAGACTGAACCTGAGGAGATTTCCGAAGTTGAGAGCTAGGACAATGGAAGTGCATCATTCTAGAATGTGTAGACCTGAGTAGCTTATACACTACAGAGCAGTTTGTCTCTTTAAAAGTAATTCAGGAATAGATTACTTTGGGACATAATAACCTGAACCTTTTTTGGAGTTGTGTGGGTGGGTAGAATGTATGAAGCAGACACAAAGGGTGGACGTGGATCCATTTAGGTGATTAGCATTTTTCATAATTTGTTTTTGTTCTGTTTGTCAGTTCATTTCAAGGTAAATACTTAGTTTTTAGTGACTTCAAAGTGTTACTAGTATGGAAAAGCATTTTAATATAAAAACTATTGGTTTAGTTTTTGATGGCTTAACCATTCCCTATAAAGAGCTAATTGAGGGCTAATGGCGCTACAGTCAAGAAATGAATGCCCATTTAATCCTAATTTTCCCCACATTCTACTTAAATTTAAAATACTGCTACCTTGTACACCTCAAAGTCTAGGAGCATTAAGACTTGTCAGTCATAAAACCTGAGATGTCAGATGTGAATACCAGCACCTATTAATTTTGCTCTCTTTTCAGAAATGTTAAGAATGTATACATATTGGATACTGGTAATGCTTGAAAGAAGTCTTTCAAGTTGTAATTTTTTGCAGGGGGCAGTCCATGACATCCTGTGTAGACAAGCACAACTGTTGAAAATTTAGTCTGAAGCACAACTGTGCTAAAACTTTAGGTTTTATGACTGTAACCTTGATCACGTGGAACCAGGGCCTTGTCTGTAAGCCTATATACAGTAAGAAAGTTGCACACCTTATTCCAAACAAGTATTGGTTTGTCTGATATCTTTCGAGTCTTACTCTGTTGAAGTGATTCTCAGCTAAACATTGTCTGTTGTAACTTTGATATTTCCACTTTTGTTATTTATTAGTGGTATCTTTTTTTGAAGTGTCAGATGTTGTGACTATTTAAAATAAAATATCATTGTAATTTAAAAAGAAAAAAAACAGAAAGAAACTAGGCAGTAATATTTCAACTACTAGTTTCCTTTCTGCATTCACCTTATTTGGAGTGAAACATTATTATAGAAATGTATTCTTTTCTTTCTTGAATAGATCTTTATTGGAGTATAATTGCTTCACAGTACTGTGTTAGATTCTGTTGTACAACAAAGTGAATCAGCCACATGCATACATATGTCCCCATATGCCCTCCCTCTTGCATCTCCCTCCCACCCTCCCTATCCTACCCCTCTAGGTGGTCACAAAGCACCGAGCTGATCTCCCTGTGCTATGCGGCTGCTTCCCACTAGCTATTTTACATTCGGTAGTGTATATATGTCCATGCTACTCTCACTTCGCCCCAGCTTCCCCCTCCCACTCCATGTCCTCAAGTACATTCTCAATGTCTACGTCTTTATTCCTGCCCTGCAACTAGGTTCATCAGTACCATTTTTTTTTTTTTAGATTCCATATATACGCATTAGCATACAGTATTTGTCTTTCTCTTTCTGACTTCACTCTGTATGACAGACTCTAGGTCCATCCACCTCACTACAAATAACTCAACTTCATTTCTTTTTATGGCTGAGTAATATTCCATTGTACATAGGTGCCACATCTTCTTTATCCATTCATCTGTCACTGGACACTTAGGTTGCTTCCATGTCCTGGCTATTGTAAATAATGCTGCTATGAACACTGGGGTGCATGTATCTTTTCAAATTAGTGTTTTTCTCTCTTTTCAGATATACACCCAGGAGTGGAATTGGCGGTCATATGGTAGTTCTTTTAGTTTCTTAGAAACCTCCATACTGTTTTCCATAGTGGCTGCACTAATCTACATTTCCACCGTGAGTGCAGGAGGGTTCCTTTCCTCCCAGGTGTGATATTCTTTATAGTCAGTGCCTTCACATACATTATTTCATTACACTCCCTTAACAACCTTATAGGTCACACAGAAGAAAAATTGTCTCCTTTTAAAGATGAAGAAACTGGGAATCAGAGATATAAGTTCTCACCAAGATCACACAGCTGTGGCAGAGGGAAGAATAAAATCCAGGTTTCCCGGCTCCATTCTACACCTGTTTGCATAATGTTTATATATAGACAAGGGGACTCACTGAATCAATGCAGGAATCCTTAAAGGACTGTCAGAGTTCTCAAGACATAGTCCTCGGTTACTATAATTTGTCTCATTTTTTTGGTACCCACTAAATCACTCGTCACCTTGCCAAGGGGAAGACAAGGAAGAGTAGCCACTTCCTCTCTGACCCTCACCTTCTAACACCAATCACTCTGTCAGACTAGTTATGTTGTCCCCTTGTGTGCTTCAAAGAGTGAGAGAAACACACTCCTTCACCAAGGTCTTGGGTAAAGGCAGTATGGGGGTCTATCACAAAGGAATACATCAGAGGTAAGTAAGACCCCAAAGACAGATGGTCAGAGAAGGACCCTGTTTTGAGGGAGGGCCAGGAGAGGGTAAATGCCACAGTAGACCCTCAGTGTTCTCTCTGATCTGTGAACAGCCCTGTTGGGGAAAGTTCCAAAGTAAATTATAGACCTTCTCTCCCCATCCCCAGGGCCATGAGCATAAGTTCTCTAAATATTAAATTTTTATATTTAATTCTATTAGTTACTACCTATATTTGTGTGTATGTAAATATTTAATATCTTCTTACAGAGGTAGCACCCAAGAAACAGAGAGGTTAAGTACCTTGTTCAGGTGCATTCAGCATATTCAGTGGTATAGCAATAAGGACTTCTGTGCCTAGCAACATTATTTATTATAAGTTGTTTTATTATTATACTGTCTCCCCAGTGATCTTGCAGGGTCTTTAATGCCAGGGTCTGGATCGTATGCATCTGTCCCATACTGCCTTGCAAGTTATTAGACAAAGAAGAGATCTCAGTGGAGTTAGAATAACTAGGCTCCAATTGTGTCCATGGGCCAAGCAGGTCCCCCTGTGGACCTTCACTTCATCATCTCCAAAGTGATTAGACTCAGTTCATGGGACCTCTTCCAGCTCCAACATTCAATGATCCTATTATGCCCTGTCCCTCCATTCCTCCCCGACTGCAGAGCACAGCAAGAAATAAGCTTCCTTCCAAATAACGACTTGGGGCACCTCCACCCCTGTCCGCGCAGCCCCAGCACAGTGCTCCGGTAGACCAGGAGAAGGTTTAGGCCCCTGCCTCCCCCTTGCTGCTCCCTCTTCCCCACCCCCCCTGCACTTTCCCCCTACACACCTGTCTCCAGACCTTGGCTTCCTGGGTCACAGTGGGAAACTCCCACCTACCAGCTGCGTTGGTTTTATTCTTGAGAAAAGAGAACAGCTGGGTGATTTAAAGATGGAACTTATGACCCACTTAACTAGTCAACTCTAGTTGTCAAGCCCTGAAGCTGCATTTAAGGACTGGAGCTGTGGATGTGACATGAAAGCCAAGAGGCCCAGATGCTTTGTTCCCAACCCTCCCCTGCCAGCAGGAGGGACTGCATACTTTATGAGATTTTTTCCAAAGAGCTTCTGCTGGGTTGCTTTGGTCTTTTTCTTTTCTTTATAAAAGGTATTTACTAGTGTATGGTCTTTTAAGCCTTTTGGCTTAGGGAAGAAAGAGGGTCAGCACGTTAACAAATTAGACATGTTCCCCCTGGCCAGGCCATCGAAAGCTAATTTTTACTTGGACTCAGCCTAACCCATCTTTAGCTCCTGACAGTATCTAAATGATGGAAAGCTTTGTTCAAATTCATAAAATATTTTACAGAGGAGTAAAACAGATCTTACAGACCCGTTTCTCATTAAAAAGTCAATGCCGGGAGCATCTGATGCTATAGAACTGTCTGATTCAACTTGGCAGGTCAAGCCTGACTAATCCTATCTTCTGACGGGTGAATTTATTTCGCCTGAAAATGATTTTCTCACAAGCTGACAGATTATGTACTCTAAACTTATACTTTTATAAGACATTACTAGAATGTTGATCAAACCTAATTCATCCATTAAACAAAATGCAGGGAAAAAATCTACACTGCAAATTAATACTTAGAAGCCATAAGCAAGGAATTCTAAGTCCTATTAGAAATTGCATGGTGTCCTCAGCCAAAGAGCAGAGTCAGAAAGAACACTTGGAAGAAAACCTTTTTCAAGTTTACATAGTCTGAGTCCATAGCTATTATAGTTGGAAAACATGAGAACCTACTTTTTCAAACTTTCCTTAGAATCAGTAAATTAAGACAAATGCTACTATATGACATAAAGACCACTGGACCCAGAATCAGAACTGGGCTCTATGTTTAGTTCTGCCTCTTACTCATTTTGGAATACTAGGGGGAAAAAACACTTCCCCTGTCTGGACCCCAATGACTTCATCTATCAGTGTAGGTTTCAAACTTGTCTTTTTATTGCATCCAACAGTTTTATTCTTTGGCTCTCAATTTAAGTGTTAATTACAGAGACAAACTTCTAATGTGGGCCCTAAATATTTAGGCCTCTTTTCCAAGGTCAAATCCACACTCACCTTGTTAACCCTCACTTCATCTTTAGAAATGCCTGATACGGTCTCTCATTTTAGAGTGCTGCTTTCAGAAATGTGTCTTTAGCTAATGTGTCTTTTTAGCTATTTTTATGTGTAATTCTTAGTGTTTTTTCTGGGTAAACTGTTATCCTAATACCCAAAACACGATTTCCCATGTGTTCTCCAAATGTCCCCATTTTTCTTTCTGGGCAGAGCTAAGATTACGTGTCTCTGCCACCCTTTTTTTTTTTTTTTTAACATTTTTATTGGAGTATAATTGTTTTACAATGGTGTATTAGTTTCTGCTATATAACAGAGTGAATCAGCTATATATATACATATATCACCA